AGTGCTGCTAGTGAGTTCGGCGGCGAGGCCGACGGCGAGGAGGAGGGAGCGATCCGGGAGGTTTTTTCGCGTGAGATCTGTCGCTGAAGAGAAAGGGACGCTCGGGTCGGCGCGCGGTCCGCCGGCCGCTTCTCCCCCTAGGGTTCGCGAACGGGAGGAAGGAGACAGTTTCGGCGGAGGAGGGATTGAGGAGAGACGCGTAACTGATAAGGAAGAGAGGGATTTAAAAATATATATATATAATAATAATATTATTATTATGTAATAATTATTATTATTTAATTAACGTCTCCCCGCATCTTTTTGTCGAATACGTCATCGCGATAAAATGAACGTCTCCCTTAGGTAAAATTGACGTTCTGGACGTGACCGAGCAGTCCGTTTCGTCATTCGGGGTCGTTTGGGTCACTTTTTTGACGATTGTGCCCAAAACGATAGTTCACACATTTTTACCCCGCCGGCGAAGCCGTAGCGAAGTGAACATCCCCCGTAAGTTAAATCGACATTCCAGACGCACTCGGGTGGTCTGTTTCGTCGTTCGGGGCCATCTGTATAACTTCGCTGGTGATTTGGTCAATTCGGGCCAACTTCGTGCATGGCGCGCGATAACAAATTTTCGTCGATCACAGGTGGACGCCCTACACCTATGACATCCAAAAATTGATGCAAACAATCTGTTTTATTATCCATGTGTTGCATATTAGATAGTTTTTATTGCAATGCTCAAGACTCCATATTTTCTTTTAAGTAGGCGGTTTTGAGGAGGGTTCGGTGGATTCCTCTTTGGAAGGGAAACTTCCCTGTTTCCTCAAAAGATTTTTTTTTCCTTACATGCATTTCTTTTTCGCTTCTCTTCTATTCAAGCCACAAACTCTTGTCCAAATTTTAGAAGGTCATTTTATTGTATGTTTCGGATTTGAGATACTTAGCATAGATTTTATTATATCTTTTTCCTCAATATTTTCCCTCATCTCTCTTTTTTCAGTAGTGTTGTTAAGATTTTTGCATAATTCACAGATAAATCTATATTCAACATTTTTCTTAAGATGTAATGAGCTTGAAGATACATCTTGGATATAAAGTTATGCTTAAAGATTTGCAGAGAGGAAATATAAATCAAACCAAAGAATAACTCATTTGTGAATATTTTATTAAAGAAGATATAGTCAAGCTAGCCTATTCAATCATCTCAAAAACACTAAGGGTGTGTTTGGGGCAGCTTATGCTTATCAAGATAAGCATCTTAGCCAGATAAGAAAAAACGCGGTCCACGTGTGACTCGCGGAGTTCGACCCGTGGCCTGCGTTTAGTGTAAAAACCCAACTGTTTTTTCGGATAAGCTGCCGAAACGTGTTTTTCGAACCGTTAGGCGGAGTTTTCAAACATGTTTTTCAAACGGTGAGGCGTCGTTTCGAAAGCGCCGTTCGCACTAATATGCTGCCCCAAACGGGCCATAAGAGTATATCTTGCCTACTCTAATATGGAAAATACTACAAAGATTTTATCATAATAGATTAACCACGACTATCTGATCTAGCTTATTTGCTTAACTCACAAAAAAGTCTTTCAAAAAAAGGCAAATATGGGCATGGAGTTTTTCTGAAAGGCATTGTCGTTGAAGGTGTCAGTGGTGGAGATCGTAGACACAATCATGGGCAAGGGGTTTTTCTGAGAGGCGACACCGATGAGAATCAGAGCTTTCCTCCTAGACTACAAAAAATACTGTAAGTATCACATGGACCACGAAGATGACCCGAAGGAACCAATAAAAGATAAAAAAACTGAAAGAATTCACTTCCCTTGGAGCCAGAACTTAGTGGTAGGGAAAAGCCCCGTCGGGAAGAGCATCTGACAAACCTATTCGCACCAATGCTATCCATATTGCATGATTCTTCCCCACCATACTTGGAGGAATCGAACCACCCAGACGAGTGGGCTGGAAGAGACAACAAATAAGGAAACTTTGCGTTGTAGTTTGTGCTCCAAATTTCAAAAAATCATGTGCTCGTCTACTTCATCGACGAGGATCTGCCTCCAAAGGGAAACTCCCACAATGATGCCATAGTAATAACGACCATAATCAATAAATACCAAGTGGGGAGCATCCTCTTTGATTGGGGAGCTGCATGAATGTGTTGTTCAAAAAGATATTTGATAAGTTAAGTCTTATTGTCGATCGAATAACTACACCAGCTAGACTATCGTATAGCTTTTTTGGAGAAAGGAAGGAAGCGCTCAGAGTAATAGGACTCCCAGTTAGTTGGGGAGACAACAAAAAACAATTTACTTAAACTGAGGATTTCCTCGTGGTGGATTCTCCTCCAACATAAAATGCCATATTCGGTCGGCCGCTTTTGTACAGTTTCAGAACTGTGGTCTATATTTACCACGTTGCGGTCAAATTTTCAGTGGACGGAGAAATCATCATAATTCGAGGGAACGTGGAGCAGTCTCAAGTTTGTTATCTGTGAGTCATAAGTAAAGCATGTCCCCCTGAATATCTAAAACCTAAGAGGAGGTGGCATTGAGACCAATGAAACCGACCTTCAAATCCTGCCTGGCGAAGGGGAACCGGATAAATATTTACTAATTAGTGAAGCTTTTGATACATGACACAGAGAGCTGCTCATCAAAATTCTCTAAGAGAATCAAGACAATTTCATGTGGAAAGCGACCGAGATGCCTGGAGTGCCGATCGACATGGTTTGCCATCTATTAAATGTGGACCCGTTAGCTTGACCTATGGAGCAAAAAATCAGAAGATCAACTACAGCTCTGACTGGACCAATCCAGGAAGAAGTGCAAAAGTTGTGGGAGGATGGCTACATCGGGAGGTACGACACCCCACATGAATCTCCAACATCACAGTGATGCAGAAGGAAAATGCAAGCTGAGAATGTGCGTAGACTTCACCAACCTGAATTCAACCTACCGAAGGATGCCTACCCACTGTCGAGGATCGAAATATTGGTGGATTCAGCGGTCGTCCATTCAGTCCTCAACTTCCTTGACACATTCTACATAAACCTCCAAATAAAGATGTACCCTATCGATATTGAAAAGACTTCTTTTATTACTAGCAAGGAAATTTATTGTTACAATGTAAAGCCCTTCGAGCTTAAGAACGTATGGGCGACCTACTAACACCTCATGGATGTAATTTTTTCAAAAAGAGAATTAACATTGAGGCATACATTGATATGTATTAGTCAAAAGCCGGTCGATCACACAACATATAGAGGATCTAAATAAAACCTTTTCAAACACTTAAAAAAATTAATATGAAGTTAAACCCATTAAGATGTACTTTCGGAGTCTCGACAGACGAGTTCGTGAGATACCTACTATGTCGAAAGGTATAAAAGCTAATCTAAAAAAAATTCAATCGCTCATAGCTATGTCATCACCTAGAAATGCCAAAGAGATACGAAAGCTAACCGACCGAATAATATGACTTATTAGATTCATTTCTAGATCAAGAGATAAAAGCACCCCCTTTTCAATGTGCTTAGAAAAGCCAAGTGTTTTGAGGGGATGTTCGAATGCGAGGAAGCCTTTACAAAACCTCAAGTAAACAATCACCTCTCCCCCTTCTCCAAAGCCGAAGACCCAAAAAAAAACTCTGCCTTTACTTGGGATTGACCCGGAGGCCATCAACTCGTTTTTGGTCAGAGAAGAAATTGACAAAAAATTCCTAGTCCACTTCACCAACAAAGTCCTCAGAGGTGCATAATTCATGTATCCGGTAATCGAGAAACTAACTTTTATTTTGATCATTTCAGCACGCAGACTCCGACAATACTTTCAAGTACAAGTCACACAAGTCATCATTGAGCCTTCGCTGAAGCTTGTCCTCACTCGCTCAGAATATTCCTACTGACTGCTCAACCGAGCCATTAAACTCAGCGGATTTGATTTCTCCTACTCTCATCAGATAACAATAAAGGTGCAGGTCATCGCTGATTTCCTTGCAAATTTATTTGAACCCATAGAAATCGGGGGCGATTTAGCGATTAAACGGTTGATTTAGACTTTACTTACAAATGACGTCTCTAATCCGTTGGTTTTTTTCTATTTTGAAAATTAAAAATAACTTAATTTAATATATACATATAATTTTGATTTTTAAAAGAGTATTTTGATTTTGAAAAATGTGACCTTACATATCACATATATTTAATTATTTAAATAATCGAACACAAATTACATGTAACAAACTTAAAAATAGAAGATCTCAAGAAAAACATCGGCTTCCTATCTTTTGGATATGTCTTTATTTTTTTCTAGAGGATCTTTCTTTTTATTATTCTCTTTCTCTAATATCTATCTTATAAATTTAATTCAATTTTCTTCTTTTGGTGGTTTTTTTATTTTTGAATGTTCGGGTCAATGAACTCCGAGCATTAGACATACATCTCAGTGTGGGAGGAAATGTCAAATTACCAGACATTCAAAGGACTTTATCTCTTTTATCTTCTCTCTATCTTTCTATTTTCCTCGATGCTATTCTGGTTTCAACATAACCACATTTAAATCTAAAATGCAACAAAATAAATAAATATTTCTAGGCAATATATATTTAGAACACTTATAGATTTTTTTTCACGTTGTATATTATTTTCTCTTTTATTTTTAAAAATATATTTATTTAATTTATTTTTTAAATACTATTATTTTTATTTTTAAAAATAAATCAACACCTCTTGAAACATACTCAAAAGCCTAATCGTTTTGAATATTTTTTTTAAATAATCACCGTGATAAAAAAAATATAAAAATAGCAATAAAATAAACTTCCAAAAAGCCTCTTGCATTTCTACGTATTCTTATTTTTTTTTTAAATCCGAAATAAAAATTATTATTAGAATTATTTAAATTTAGCCTATAGCCTATCACGCGAAGGAGGATGAGATGCACGTGCTTCTGCAGCATTTGAGCGACCAACGCCCGATGCATCCGGGTCACCAGAACATGAATTAAACGTGCGCTGAAACCAAGCCTTCGTATACAGAGAATTAATCCTGTTCGCTGTTTTATTTCAACAGCTGATCGTTTTTCTTCTGTCATTTTTTTCCGTCGCTCAATATTTGATCCCAGCTTCATCCACACTTCCGGCTATCGTCAACAATTAAACGAGAGGGACGAAAAACCTAAACCCCACCAAACCCTAGCTCAACTCCTCCCAAAATGGAATCCCTCGGCGTTCTTTTCACGTATCCAATGGACCTCTGTCTGGAGAAGGAGCTCGGGCGGCGGTTCAAGCTCTTCCGCGAACTCCGTGATGGGAGCCGACGCAGATATGATCGACGCTCTGCCGGCGCTGGAGATCGTTGCAACCTGCAGCGTGGGGCTCGACAAGATCGACCTCGATAAGTGCAGGGAAAAGGGAATTAGGGTTACCAACACCCCCGACGTTCTTACGGATGATGTCGCTGACCTCGCCATTGTCTTGGCGATCTGCACCATGCGACAGATCTGTCAGAGCGAATACTTTGTGCGGAGCGGAGCATGGTTGAAAAATGGGGCTTACCGGCTTACTACTAAGGTAACCACTTGATCAGCAATAGCTGTTATGTTTATTACTCTGATGAAAGAGTCTTTTTCTTGCAATAAGGGGATGTTAAAAGCCCCATGGTGGTTATTTAGGGATTTTTACATACATAGAACACGAAAGTCGATATTATATATATATATATATATATATATATATATATATATATAC